GAAAAAAAGGATTTTCTTTGGTGTTAAACAAAATTTATTGCCAGAAAAGTCTCGTAAGTACTGGAAAAATCATAAAAATATTATAACCAATATGCAAAATATTATGCTGTTTAAAGTATAGCCAACCTATAAAATCAAAATTTTGGGTGGGATAAAGTATCTTATTACAGCACCGAAAGCGGTGTTATAATGAAGTCATTATCAACGCAAAATAGATAAAAATACTTTTTTTTACTTCCACCTTTAAAAAGCCCTTTATCGTACATGTTTCCATGACACTAAGTGACCTTTTAAATACACATTGACAAGTTGTGGCTTTATGGCGCTTTAGTCACGGGCTGAAGTTAGCAACAGGTTTTTAGTCACGGGCTGAAGTTAGTTTTAAGTTAGTTGACAGTTGTCAAATGTCATACAATCGTTAAAATAAATTGCCTTTCTTCTAAAATAATACTAAATGTGAAAATTATTTTATTATCTCAATACAAAAATACAAAAGTATTAAATAGTTTCTCATTGTACTGACCTTTTAGATTCGCCGGCAGTAAACTATAACTTAAATTCGGGCACGGACTCCACTGTAAAGTGCTCATAAAACGTTTTCTTTACTTTCACTGTGAAAAACTGTCAATTTTCAAGAAATACATTTCGATTTATAACCTTTATAATTGTGTTTATAAAATATAAAAATTTGACATTTGACGGTGACACACAGATTCCCCTATTGTTTCATAGATGGCGCTCTATACAAATTTTTGATTTAAATCATTTTAAGATAATAATAAGTATTTGTCGTAAAAAAAGTATAGTATGCACCTCTTTTATAAACTTTTCTATACACTCATTCGTGTATATAATGGCGTTTATCAAACTTGATACATAATATACTATTAAAAACCCAATCAGAAAAATCCAATACAACTTGATTTATTCGATTTTAAACTCATCACCTCAATTCTGCATCTCCTAACCACGTGCATTGTTCTTTTGTTTTCCGGAGTGCATCCGGTAAGTTTCGTTCTCGGGAACAATTGAACTGCCGTGACAGTTCGTAAAAACAAGTGAACCGCGAACGCGGAAGTCGGATAATCAAATGTACGAAATAAGGGAATAGACGATAATAAATTTTCAGGCAGCTTCGTAAATAGGTTAATTGTGGCTTTTACTGAATATAACAAAAAAAAACAAAGTTAATTTAATTCGTGTTTTGTTTTTATTCAATCGATATTTCTAAAAAGTGTACAGATCAGTGTATGGTATAAATGTGTTCCTCATGGTTTAAACATTGTCACTTTAATGCGTTTTAATTTTACTTCTGAAAACAAACAGTTAAATGGTCAGTGTCCAATTACTGGTTGGTAAAAAATGTAAATTTCTATTATTGGACATTTGTCCAATATCACACCCTATTTGTATCCCGGACATTTACCAGCCAATTCTTATGTAAAATTGTCCCCTGAATCCGAAAAGACCGTCAAAAACTATAAAAGTTAAGCAGTTTTTGAGATATAGTCAATTCCATATTATTTGTAAAATTGATTATATTTCAAAAACTGTTCTACTTTTATAACTTTTGACGACATTTTCGGATTCAGCGAACAATATTTCATAGGAATTGACTGCTAAATGTCCTGGATACAAATTGCTGTTGACGAGAATTATTGCTTTTTCGCTATGACATTTTTGACTAATTCATTTTTAGAGAGTAAGTAAAATAGTGATTTCTTCGTCACAGGACATCTTGCAGAAACAGTAATTTAAATACAGTGCATGATAGAGAACATAAAAAAGTAATGACAACAAAATTAATAAATTTGGAAAATACTTTTAACATACCACCCGTAAAAATATTAGATATATAAATCATCCTACGGCCTAAACATTATAAATGCTTCACAAACTAGAGATACCACACCTAATGATATTTGCAACAAACTATTTCAGAAGTCAGACCAAGGAATTAGTAGTTTCCTTTAGAATCTAGAAAAGGTATGAGGAATCCGAGAAAGAAATATATGATATTTACAAAAACGAAATAAAAAAATTACCTAAAACAGTTTATATAAAAATTGTATGTCCAATAACTATGGTCCATGTGTCCAATTATTATATAAAATGTCCAATTACTAAACTATTTTTGCATGTTTTTATAAAAGTATTATTAAAAATTTAAATATTCTTACTAATAATATTAATATTAAATATTATTGTTATCCTATTACAAAAATTTTGTCTAATGTATTTTTTGTATGTTTTGAACGAATAAATGAATTACAAACGACCAGTACATTAAATGAAATAAATATGCAAATTTTAGATTGTCTTCTGCCAAGAAAAACCAAAATGGAATTCATGAAATAATTTTCTTTATAGTCTGGAAAATATTTTTTCGCTAGCGCGTTTCATTTAAATTTAAAATAGCATGGAATATACGAGGTGTGTTCAGAAAATAACGGGAATTGTTAAATTTCGCGGGTTCGGAGGGTGCGGTTGTCATAAAAATTTCTTTATTATGTTGGTATACATGCCCCCGAAGTATGATAAAAACTTTAGCTGTTTTCATTGTTTACTTTGCCTGTGGTAGCCGCTAAGGTAAGACGTGTTTTATGAGCTCGGCGATTTTTCGTTCGTTAAAAGAAATGGATCAAAGAATTTGTATCCAATTTTACTTAAAAAATGAAATGAATTCTGTGAAATGTTAACAAAGGCCTTTAGTGAGTCTGCTATAAATAAAACAAGATTTTACAAGTGGTATAAGAGTTTCCAAGATGGCAGTGAAGACGTTAAAGATAACGAACGCCCCGAACGCACAAGCACATTAACAACCGATAAAAACATGGAAAAAGTGAAAGAAATGGTTATAAACCATCAGAGAAGTCGCTATATCGATTGGCTCATCCCATGAATTTTTTTCGAATGTTTTGGGTATGAAACGCGTGGCAGCAAAATTTGTTCTAAAATTGTTAAATTTTGAACAAAATTTTTGGCCAAAACCAATACTGTAATGATGCCCCAGCCTCCATATTCGCCAGACATGCCTCTGTCTGACTTTTTCCTATTCCCAAAAATAAAGAGAACCTTAAAGGGCCGTCGTTTTGCAAGCATAGAAGTGTTTCAAGTATATGGCACATGTGCATAATATCCAATGGGGACTATTTTGAAGGCGACAACGTTAATGTAGACGAATAAATAAATATTTGTTTCAAAAAACGAAAATTCCCGATATTTTCTGAACACACCTCGTATACAGTTGACGGTAATAAAATTGGGAATTAGTTACATATCGTAAAGAGGTTTCTAGAGGAGGATAAAAATTTAAATACGGCTCGCCCAAATTTAAATTAATAAATACGTATTAAATCTGTTTTGCATTCGCCTTTAAAGGAAACTGGTCTGTCTTGAAACAAGCACCACACCTTTATCGTTTTATTATTATTTTTTTTACAGAAGTGAAATTTTATTATATGTACCTACATCTACACTCCTTCAAGGACGCTGTTGTACAAATCTTCTCCATAATAAGTTTTTTAACATTTTAACTGTTTCCTGTGATGACTATAGTATACTAATACAGGGTGTCTATAACTTATAACTCACGTTCATATTTAAAGTAGTATTCTATTTATTTATTACTATTACAAGCAGAATTCACATTGATATTGAAATTAAAGGAAAACGCTAACGGTTTATCCGAATTTGAAGTCATTGTAAAATTCGTTGGTTCATTGGAACCAGACGCTCCCATATCGGTACAGCTGCTGATAGTGCTGGAAGACGCCGACGCATTAGAACCTTGTATTTTTTCTGCAATTTGTATTTTGTTATGCACCGATTCTTCTAGGTATCCTTCTGCTACCGTCGAGGACTTCCATCCTCCGTGACGCTTCAAAGTAGTCATGTTGGCCCCTGCATTGGCCAAAAGAGTCGCCAAAGACCTTCTCAGGTAGTGACCGGTGTAGAGCGCTGGTTCCTCCAATATCAAAAACATTGCAATTCTTCGACAACCTATGTTTTCCCACACACTGGCTGGTACACCTCCCATTTTTGTAAAAAACAAAAAAGCGGCTAGAACTAGTATTCCTTGGTCTCAAAGACAAGTATTTTTTACACAAATTGATCGAGTTGACTGAAAATCCTTCTTCAAGTATGGTGAAACTTCTCAATTTTTTGGTTTTAGTGTCTGGCAAAACTACGTGAAAATATTTCCCTTAGTCTTGACTATTTTTTATTTTCAAATTGACCAATTCATCGCATCTACAAGCACCGCTAATCCCCATTATCAAAGCCACTTCCATCAACAGGTACTCGTCGTCGGGAGCTTCGTTCAAAAACTTCTCTATTTCAGGTCGTTCTAATGTCTTGGACTTGTTTGGTTTGTATCCCTGTGATTTGCTTTTCAAAAAGCTCGTTAGTTTGCCATATTTTTTTATAAAAGTGAATAGTTGAGCGAAGCATCGAGTGTTTGGTCCATAGCGACGATGGGGCTAATATTTTTTGCAGATGTAAAAAATATGCCAATACAACATTTTCATCGATACCTTTTATCTTCCGTGAATTCATCCAAGACTCAAACATTTTGAACTCCTTGTCGTAAGCATCTCGGGACTTTTCTGGCAAAATCTGCATCGCTGCTTCTTCCGCTTCCGTAAGGATATCTTCAGGAACGTATTTTTCATCGGTTTCCTCCGTTTTCTATACGTTTTTTTCTTCAAAAAAGCTTCCCTTTTCTGCAGGGAAAAACATTTGCTAACAATGTATCATGCCCGTGGCAACCAAACAAACAACCTACTTTGACCAAAATGTAAAAAGGCACTGTCAGGTGCCTGACGGCCTCCTGGTATAAATCTTTCTCGCGTGACTTTTTTTCAACATAACTATAAATAACTCGGTTAGTAAAATTTAACACAGGTTTTTAAGTTTTAAAAAACAACATTTTTCTCGAAATTCTTAGAAAACCGAATTTGACGCCCTAAACAAAAACTAAATTATTTCTTTTTTTTTAGATTTTCCCGGAATGTGCTTCGCTTCCACTCGCTGCGCTACTGTAGAACCTGGCAAAACCTGGGAACTGACCCCATTCTGTGGAAGATCAACCTGCGTACTATCTGAAGACAAACCACCACGTCTATTGGAGTTGGTTGAAGATTGCGGACCTCTCCCATTGGCCAACCCCAAATGCAAATTGGATGAAGGTAAGGCCCCAAAGCATTTGCACAGTAAAAAATATTTCAATCGCAAATAACTTTTTTATTTGATTTCGGATTTAAACAAATATTAAAGAATATTGTAGATACATTAATGGAGAATCGCTCACATTTTAAAAATTACTAAAAAATACACGTACGTTTATAATATACAGGTTTAAACAAAAATATGTTTGGCTAAACCGTATATTGTTCTAAATTAAGTTTTATTTATCAAGTCACATCTATTTTTAACAGTTTTGTTTTTGGTTCACCTTGATATATTTATTTTTGTGGAAAATATGGATTTTTAAAAAAAAACATTGCAATTTCCAATATTTTCCTGTATGAAGAACTAAGGTCCATCCATAGCCTATGGAGGATGACAGTGACAGTTTTGTTGAATCATCCCATACTTGGACATGTCATATACAGCTTTCAAAAGCTATCAAATTGTCTTTTGTAAATTAATGTGTTAATTTTGAGGTGTCCTCTTACTTTTAAAAATGTCTCCGACTGATGTTGCCCTTTGTACTTTACTTCTAGTGACGTTTAAAACACTTGCCACGTAATACCGTGACCGTCCATCCTGGATTAAATTAATGGCTCTGGCAACATCAGTCGGAGACATATCCATTTTTTAAAGTAAGAAGACACCTCAAAATTTAATCATTAATTTGCAAAAAACAATTTGATAGCTTTTGAAAGCCGTGTATGACATGTCTAAGTATGGGATGATTCAACAAAACTGTCACTGTCATTCTCCATAGCCTATGGATGGACCATAGCAACCTTAGTTCTTCATACAGGAAAAATATTGGAAATTGCAATGTTTTTTTAAAAAAATCCATACTTTCCACAAAAATAAATATATCAAGGTGAACCAAAAACAAAACTGTTAAAAATAGATGTGACTTGATAAATAAAACTTAATTTTAGAACAATATATGGTTTTGCCACTCTACTGAGTGTCTTAAACTTATGGTAAAAAACATCTTTTTGTTTAAACCTGTATATTATAAACGTACGTACATTTTTTAGTAATTTTTAAAATGTGATCGATTCTCCATTAATGTATCTACAATATTCTTTAATATTTGTTTAAATCCGAAAACAAATAAAAAAGTTATTTGCGATTGAAATTCATCGAAAATTTGTGTGGATCGATTATTTTGCCTGTGAGTGTACTTTTGACGACATTTTTAGATTCAAAAGATGAGATAAAATAACTAAAAAAACTATTTTTTTTATAGAAAAAACCAACAAGACCGCTGCTTTCCCAATCTGCTGTCCACAGTTCAAATGCGAGGAAGGAGCTAAATTGGAGTTCCCCGAAATCCCAACTGTAGCTCCAGTTCCAGAGGAAGCTCCAACCACACCAAAAGCCTAAAAATAAAAATTAAAAAAAAAAATCAAAATCGAAATCTCATATTTATTTTGTCTGATTCTAAATTTTTATTTTTTTATTACTTCTTTTCTTCTTTTCAGTATCCCTCCTTATTTTGCATGTTTTCTCGACTTTTCTTCGAATACTTTTTTAGTCAAAATAATGTTAGGACTGTAATTTTAGTTTTTTTGTGATACTTTTTGTTTTATAAATTATTGATTTCTGTTTTTAACCATGTTAATGCTAAAACATTTCTGGAAATAAAAATAATTTTTAAAAGACTTGTTGGTTTTATTTTATTGAATTGCTCCATTATAACAAGTTTTTAAGATATTTTAACCCAATTTTTTTGTATTGTTTGACATCACAAGACGTTTTTCGTTATAATTTTTTTTAATATCCTTCTTAAGAGATCTTTATTTGAAACTTGATTTGTCGTTTTGATTATATATTTCGACAAATATTTCTGAAAAAAGAAATTGACAAGAAGTTTTTTGATAAAACAGGATTTTTTGGGTTAGAATAGAGTAATACCGAGAAGTCACTTTTTCAACATTTGAAACTGAAAATAGTCACTAGGTGCCAAATCTGTAAATAAGTCGGATGATGGAGCAATTCGAAGTCGAAATTTCTTAATGGCGTCTGTACTCTGTATTTTCTTGGTGAATGTTCATCAAATCAAATTAACAATACATTTTTATACCTAGTAACGCAATTATTTTTCTTTAAGAAAAAAATCTAGAATTATTGTATTAAATATCCAATTTTTCCCTAATTACATAAAAATGTCACCGGTATTAATATTAATTTACTTTATGAACATAGACAACCCAGAATACAACTTAATGTGGTTTCACGAATGTTACACTGTGAAAAACATTTCAATAAACGCATTATTACCGAAGAATAAACCTATACAGGGGCGTACCGAGGCACACTTTTTTGGGGGGGGTGGAGACAATAAAAAAACCAACTTATTTTTTTATCGATACTTTAGTAGTAATAATAAAAAATTTTAGTAGTTTTATCATGAATGTAAAGTGTTGTAAAGTGTAGATAAAGAATTTCTTTACCTACACGGAAAAAAATAATCGGTAGAGGCTACCGATTGCCAATCGGTAGACTCTACCGAAAAAATCGGTAGACTCTACCGAAAAAATCGGTAGTCTCTACCGAAAAAAAATCGGTTCCCTCAACCGATTTTTATCGGTAGTAGCTACCGATTATTTTTCGGTGGAGTCTACCGATTTTTTCGGTAGCCGTAACCGAGAAAATCCGCATCGATGCGCTGTTAGAAAATTAAAAAAAAATATATTAATACTTAAAAATATTAACATTTAAAAATAATATTAAACATTATTCAAGTTAATAAAAATTACTCTTTTCAGTCAACATTTTGAGATGATATTCATTGTAATTATTAAAAAATGCTATTCAAAGAAATTACTCCTCTTTTTAATATTTTTGTATTTCAAATTTATTTATACCTGAAAAAAAATACTATTTTCTATTTAATAAAAAGCGAGTATTTAACTTCTCGCTAAAAAAATACAAAAATTTTCAAAAATTGGTAATCGATTTTTTCGGTAGCCTGCACCGAAAAAATCGGTAGACTCTACCGAAAATAATCGGTAGCTGCTACCGATAAATCGGTTGAGGGAACCGATTTTTTTTCGGTAGAGACTACCGATTTTATCGGTAGAGTCTACCGATTTTTTCGGTAGAGTCTACCAATTATTTTTTTCCGTGTACCATTAGCATGCTCTTTTGAAGTCTCTATTTTTTTCATTTGCTGCCAATGTAAGTGGATTATCCGGAACAGTAACAATTTTAATTTTAAGCAAATTTCCACCGTGAATATTTTCCTCGTGAATTTTTTTCTAGTCCTTGTTAAACACAGATCTACATAATGAACATTTTACTAGAACTCGGCCCGGTCTAGCTTTCTTTTCCATATTAAAAAAAAATTAATTCCTATTTATTGACACTAGTTTTACTTAGCTTAGATAAGCTTCAACTAATTAATAATTTAGAAAAATAAGACGCCGAAAATTGCGGTGCGTAAAAAGAGTCAAACGCCGCCAAAACCAAAGACAAAGCCGCGAGACGGTGCCGACTTTGTACATGCCGCTTGTGTGAAATATGATGTCCTTTAATAAAAATAAAGTTGACCAATACAATTTTCTTGACGGTAACGATTATCAGGGCCGGTGAAAGGGGTGGGTACGGTGGGTACTACTACCCACCTGGATTTCTCCAAGGTGGGTAACTACCCACCTGGAAATTGGGCCAAGTTTTTTTATTTTCTTAAAAATATCATATTTTAAATATGAACTGGATAGACAGCTTTTAAGTAAGCTAAATGACATTACACCTAAATTTACGCAATTTTATGTGCTCAGATTTATGAAGAAGAAGAAGAGTTTGTTTCAAGTTGTTACAGTACGTGCAATACTATAATATATATTAGGTATATCAGGTGTGTTATAAAAAAATGGACCGTTTCGTTATTCGGGCCGGCCGGGGCAAAACGACAAGTGAGGCTGTTCCCAGTTCTAGTCAAGATAAAAGGCAACAGGCAGATTATGTGAGTGAATCAAATAAAACTTCGGAACGTGAAAATGACTATAGGAAAAAAATTAAGGTTTGCGAAAACATACAGAAAGAATCCACTTATTCTGTAGCCGGTAAGTACAAAAATATTAATATTAATAGTGATAGTAATAAAAAATCAATAAAATAATCCAATAAATCAATAGGTAATTACTCTAAAAGTTTTACTTCAACTATTAGTATGCCGCATATCGTATGCCAGGTATATTAGTTTTTAAATACAGCCCGTTCAGAGTACAACCGAACATAGGGAAACGTATCGGGCGTGGCCTCGCCTCCCTCCAACGCGCAACACAGAACATAAGAGTGTAAAATACTGAATTTAAAAGGTTTCAAATAATGTATCAGTATATGTTCTTTTGAGATACCACGAGCATTACAACGTTGGAAAGTAGAACATCCATGGATCGATGTGAATGAACATGCACGTGCGATTTGTACCATATGCACAGAAGCGTGCAAATTGATAGTACATTTTACATCATTTGACATCCAATCAAAAGAAATTGGGTGTAAAAAGGCTTTAGCAACTGGAAACACGGGGCGGAAAGAATAAAAGCTCATTCGAGAAGTTCGCTTCACATATCATGTGCAGAACTTCTAAAAAATCGTGGAAAAGTCAATATTGCACAACAGTTGTCATCTTCATCACATAAACAAATGATGGATCACCGCACGGCTTTAAGAAAAATTTTTAGTACATTAAGAATTCTGGGAAAACAAGGACTAGCGTTACGTGGATCTGAAAATGATGAGAATTCGAATTTTATGACTATCCTAAACGCGCGAGCAGAAGACGTTGAAGAGCTTAAATCATGGCTAAAAAAAACTGGACATAAATGGCTTAACCACGACTCACAAAATGAAATACTGCATATGATGGCTACAAAAATAATGGAAGAAAATGTGCAAGAGATTAAGAAAGCGGAATTTTATTCCATTCTTCTGGATGAACGGCTGACATTTTAAAAACGGAGCAGGTTTCAATCTATTTTCGAAACGTTTCTCCTAATTTTGTAGCCTCCGAGTTCTTCATGGGGTTTTAATCAACAATCAACACCAAAAGTGAAACATTGTTTAACATTGTCAAAGACGTTTTAATACGTTTTAATATCCCGTTGCTTAAACTTAGAGGACAATGTTACGATGGAGCTGCCAATGTTTCAGAAAAAATTTCCGGGTTGCAGCAACGGCTCCTAGAAGAGGAGCCCCGAGCTTTATTCGTCCATTGCAATGCGCATAATCTTAACCTGGCCGTACAAGATGGAATAGAAAAAGTTTTCGAAGCTACAAAGTTTATCGGTGAGGTAAAAGAGTTAATTTAGTTTGTACGCGATTCACCAAAACGTGTCGCAAAATTCCAGCAACTGCAATCAGCAGAGGAGGAAGAGGGTAAGATTGCCCTTGCAGCGTACTGTCCAACGAGGTAAGATTTTAAAATGATTAATTTCTTTATTATAACATTTTATTTCTTTGTTCAGATGAGTAGTGCAAATAAAATCATTAAAAAAGGTCGAGGCTAACTTTGAGACCTTACTTACGAATCAGTTGCAAACCAATGTGCGAACACAAAATACCTTATGCGCACACTCCAAACGTCACAAACAAGTTTCAAACCAATGTGAAAACAAACCTGATAGATCAACCTACTTTGCCACGTAAACGAAAAATTCCCAAAAGAATTAATGATGGAAATGCCGAAAATCATAATTTTCAAACTCCAAAACAGTATTATCGCAAAATATTTTGCGAAATATTCGATCAAGTCATTTTCTCTTTGAAGTATCGATTCGATACTGAATCAGGGAAATTTTTTAAATCCTTAGAAAGTTTTATCGTCGGTAAAAAAATGACTACCGAAAATTTAAAGAAAATCATAATTTTTTATAAAGAAGATTTTAATGAATTCAGGTTAACAGAAGATAAGAGTGTAGCTTTAAATATTATGGAACGAAGGGGAAAGAAAGTTCAGAATTTGGGTGATATCGTAAAATTCATGCGGGAGAATGAATGGTGTGTGGGACTTGTTCCTGAGTATTCCCGATTTAAAAGACTACTTATGACTATACCCGGTTCATCATGTTCAAACGAAAGAAGTTTTTCTGTACTGCGGCGACTCAAAAACTATTTACGTTCGACAATGGCGCAAAATCGATTAAATGACATAGCAATTCTGCATTCTTATCCAGATGCAGTAGATAAGCTCAATTTAGAATTGCTTATGAACGAGTTCATTAGTCGAAACACAAAAAGGACTGCAGTGTTTGCGCTGCAGACATAAAATGTAAGTTGAACAATTGAATAAATTGCATACTTATTTTTGAACAATAAAATGTTTTCATAAATACCCCTCTCCCCTCCCCGTCCGTCGAACTACCCACCTGGACTGAAAACGTTCCACCGCCCCTGACGATTATAGGAGGTTACAATAGATTAAAAATTATAATTTTGTATTATGTAGGTAAAGTTTAAAAATTATATTTCATTTTATTTATTGTGATGGGTTGGTTGGTAGGGTAGGTATACCCAACCAACCGACCCAAATACTATAGATTTTGCCAACCGTGTTTGGATTTGGAACCAACTGCCAAGACTTTGGGGGGGAGTGACTCCCCCCCTACACCCCCCTTAGGCCCGGCCCTAAACCTATAATTTAATAAAAAAATCACCAAATTCGGTTTGACGGTTCGCGAGAAAATCAACTTTAAAATTGTGACAAATTTTTAGTGGTGCGTCCACTTTTAATAACAGTTATTAATATCTCCGAAACTATCATACCAAAAGAGAAAAATTTGCTTACTGCTGAAATCACAATTACATAATATATTCAAATCTACAAAATAAAGAGGGGGTACAATTTAGTTCGTAGAACTGCGAACGAAACAGAAAAAAATAATGAATATGCAGAAAAATAATCATTGCAAATATAATTTGTTTATAAGGCAATATTTGTTAATTAACAAATTGTTATAAAATTTTATAAACAATAAATAAAAATGGACTAAATGGTTAATAATTACTGGGCAAAAGCAAAAATGTTACCAAAATAGCAAAATCTTACTTATTTTAATATACTAATTAACAATCTGCCTTGTAAAAGTTGATAGATCCAGGCTAATTTTGATATATAGTTAATTACCTGATAATTATAATTAACCACCTATCTAATCTAAAAATTGTGGTGAGAGGTTCCACCAGAATATTTCAAACATGGAAAAAATGGAAATGTGAGATGTTAGCGGACTACTACTGGACTATGACGAAAGATGCTCCAGAGGAATAAAAATAACAAAACAAGACTAACTGGACTGAAAAGATGAAGGAGGAGACTACATTTCCTGAAAGTTTTAGATTTTTATTGTTTCCTCAACATAATGATTTCTGAGGGCAAAATTTACTAATTTGAAGAATTATCAAATTTCAATAATTTTTTTAATAAAGAAAATGATAAAATAATAGTTACGTTTTCTATTTTTTAAGTACTTGATACCTGAAAAAAAATACCTTTCTAGATTTAGTAGAATAGGCACAGGAGCCAGACAAAAATCACAAAAATTGTCAAATTATCATGAATCTTTAGTGGTTTACCATTCTTTTATGAGATTAACTAATTGGATAATAATAATTTATATCGAAAACACACTTACTGAACAGTAAAACAAAATTAAAATCATTTCATTATTTGTCATAGAAAAAAAGTTCTGACCCACTATAAGAGAGTAAGAAATTGATACGATTTCAGATTTCTAAAGGGTGCCGATTAAAAGTAAAGAATCCAAAAATTAAAACGGCAACGGATTTTTATATTTGATAACTAAAAGATCATCCTCAATTTTTTTTATCAAAATAAAAAATCAAGCAGCGCACCCCATTTGGTGTTTTTATTTGGAATGACTCAAATGTCAACTAACTTAACTTTAAGTTTAATGTATTCTCTTATTTTATAGTTTTGACAGTAGATATAATAATATAATATATTGCAGCAAAAGTAACGGGGAAATAGAGCTATCGCTCATTTCTCCAACAAGGCACGCCACACCAATGTTGCCAGGTTTGGTGAAAATTCACCAGATTTGGTGATTTTTAATTCATTTGGTGAATAAGTGAAAACTTTTTTTAAAAGCCCTATTTCTGGTGATTTTTTCGACCGACATTTGTAAATTAAAATTTTCCTAAAAACACATGTTAAATGTTAAAATGTTAAATGTTAAAATGTGAAAATGTTAAAATGTTAAAATGTTAAAATAATAAAATGTTAAATTTAAAATGTTAAATGTTAAAATGTTAATGTTAAAATGCTACCAAACATACAATCTGAATCTAGAATTTTAATCTCTAATGTTTTAAAATTATTAATTATTATTAAAACATGAATATTTTTGCCCAAAACTAAATTTTGTAAAGTGTGTGATGCCAAAAAAGGTTACAAAGGTCTTTTCTTTCCAGCGCTTTAAATAAAATAAATAAAACAAAAATGCAAAATAGATTAGACTCCAAAACCTCGAGTGCAATTTTACATAAAAAGTAAAAGATTAATTTTAAACTGCTGTTTCGCACAAATTATAGTATGTAACAATAAATTTTGTTTTTTTATAAGAACAAGTCTGTAATTTAATAATGTATTTAGTTTCATTTAATTATTATATGCAAATATACAAAAAAATGCAAAATCTGGTGATTATTTATTAAATCTGGCAACTTTTAAAGCAAGTGTCTGGTGATTTTTTTGACCTGGCAACATTGCGCCACACAGACAAAACCCTTTGGGGGAGTTTGTTCTACACGTTAGACTCGACGGTGCGCCGAGCAGGGTGCGGCGCAGGCGCCGCCGCCCCTCGCGGAAGCGCCGCGACGCCGAAACCGTCGCCCGTCTCTTTCTGGCCGCCGCGCCGCCCCGATCTGAGCGTCCTTGTCGCGCTGCTCGAGCCCCGAGCCGGCTCGTTCCGCGAAACGCTGTCAGTTCGAAACGGTCGACGATCGCGACACGATCGCCTTTTGTTTTTTCGGCGTGTGCGCTGATGCTGCGCACAGAAAAACGTTTTTATGTATTAAACAAATGGATTTGGTGACGGGTTTTCGTAGATTTTCGACGACTTTATCGGAATTGATTTGATTTGCCGACACTCGAAAAGGATTATTCGGATTTTGCTCTGTCAAGTAAGAAATTATTGTTAACTTTACATTTATATCGATTATTTGTTTATACAGGGCTAAATTCATTTTTATGAAACCTTACTATTATATTTATAACATGACATGTGTTGTATTAACAGGGTTATATTTTTTTAATTGTCAATTTGATATAAACAACCAAAGTTTTTAAATTATTTGTTTAAATTATTAATTGTCTAGTTCAATTTTTTTTCTTTTTACATTAAAATGTCATTAAGGCCTATAAATTAATTCTGGCCGACAAATGCAAAATCGTAAAAAAACCGTTTTTGTAAAATTTCCTACAAAAATACCTCTATTTACTAGCAAGTTATGAATTTTTTATTATGACATTAAAATGTCAATTAGGCCTATAAATTAACATTGGCCGACAAATGCAAAATCGTAAAACACCGGTTTTGTAAAATTTCCTACAAAAATACATCTATTTACTAGCAAATTAGGAATTTTTTCTTATTACATTACAATGTCATTAAGGCCTATAAATTAACAGTGGCCGACAAATGCAAAATCGTATAACACGTTTTTTGTAAAATGTCCTACAAAAATATCTCTATTTACTAACAAGTTATGAATTTTTTCCTATGACAATACAATGTCATTAAGGCCTATAAATTAACACTGGCCGACAAATGCAAAATCGTAAAAAACCGTTTTTGTAAAATTTACTAGAAAAATACATCTATTTACTAGCAAGTTATGAATTTATTCTTATGATATTAAAATGTCATTAGGGCCTATAAATTGACACTGGCCAACAAATGCAAAATCGTAAAAAACCGTTTTTATAAAATTTCCTACAAAAATACATGTATTTACTAGCAAGTTATGAATTTTTTCTTATGAAATTCCAATGTCATTAAGGCCTATAAATTAACACTGGCCAACAAATGCAAAATCGTAAAAAACCGTTTTTGTAAAATTTACTAGAAAAATACATCTATTTACTAGCAAGTTATGAATTTTTTATTATGACATTAAAATGTCAATTAGGCCTATAAATTAACATTGGCCGACAAATGCAAAATCGTAAAACACCGGTTTTGTAAAATTTCCTACAAAAATACATCTATTTACTAGCAAATTAGGAATTTTTTCTTATTACATTACAATGTCATTAAGGCCTATAAATTAACAGTGGCCGACAAATGCAAAATCGTATAACACGTTTTTTGTAAAATGTCCTACAAAAATATCTCTATTTACTAACAAGTTATGAATTTTTTCCTATGACAATACAATGTCATTAAGGCCTATAAATTAACACTGGCCGACAAATGCCAAATCGTAAAAAACCGTTTTTGTAAAATTTACTAGAAAAATACATCTATTTACTAGCAAGTTATGAATTTTTTCTTATGAAATTCCAATGTCATTAAGGCTTATAAATTAACACTGGCCAACAAATGCAAAATCGTAAAAAACCGTTTTTGTAAAATTTCCTACAAAAATACATCTATTTACTAGCAAGTTATGAATTTTTTCTTATGACATTCAAATGTCATTTTAAGGCCTATAAATTAACACTGGCCGACAAATGCAAAATCGTAAAACACCGGTTTTGTAAAATTTCCTACAAAAATACATCTATTTACTAGCAAATTAGGAATTTTTTCTTATTACATTACAATGTCATTAAGGCCTAAAATTAACACTGGCCGACAAAATAAATGCAAAATCGTAAAAAACCGTTTTTGTAAAATTTCCTATGAAAATACATCTATTTACTAACAAGTTATGAATTTTTTCCTATGACATTAAAATGTCATTAAGGCCTATAAATTAACAGTGGCCGACGAAACGGTGGACGATCGCGACACGATCGCCTTTTATTTTTTCGGCGTGTGTGCTGCTGCTGCGCACAGAAAAACGTTTTTATGTATTAAACAAACGGATTTGGTGACGGGTTTTCGTCGATTTTCGACGACTTTATCGGAATTGATTTGATTTGCTGACACTCGAAAAGGATTATTCGGATTTTGCTCTGTCAAGTAAGAAATTATTGTTAACTTTACATTTATATCGATTATTTGTTTATACAGGGCTAAATTCATTTTTATAGAACCTTACTATTATTAAATAATATATTTTGTGAACTAAATATTTATGTGATGTATTTATTAACAGGGTTATATATTTTTTTTAATTGTCAATTTGACATAAACAAATTTTTAAATTATTTGTTTAAATTATTAATTGTCTAGTTCAAAATTTTTTCTTTTTACATTAAAATGTCATTAATACATCTATTTACCAGCAAGTTATGACTTTTTTCCCATGACATTAAAATGTCATTAAGGCCTATAAATTAACACTGGCCGACAAATGCAAAATCGTAAAAAACCGTTTTTATAAAATTTCCTACAAAAATACATCTATTTACTAACAAGTTATGATTTTTTTCTTATGATATTAAAATGTTATTAAGGCCTATAAATTAACATTGGCCGACAAATGCAAAATCGTAGAAAACCGTTTTTGTAAAATTTCCTACAAAAATATGTCTATATACTAGCAAGTTGTGAATTTTTTCCTGTGACATTAAAATGTCATTAAGGCCTATAAATTAACATTGGCCGACAAATGCAAAATCGTAAAAAAACGTTTATATAAAATTTTCTACAAAAATACATCTATTTACTAGCAAGTTATAAATTTTTTCTTTTTGTAAAATGTCCTACAAAAATATGTCTATTTACTAACAAGTTATGATTTTTTTCTATGACATTAAAATGTCATAAAGGCCTATAAATTAACACTGACCGACAAGTGCAAAATCGTAAAAACCGTTTTTGTAAAATTTCCTTCAAAAATATCTCTATTTGCTAGCAAGTTTTGAAATTTTTCTTATGACATTATAATGTCCTATAAATTAACACTGGCCGACAAATGCAAAATCGTAAAAAAAACGTTTTTATAAAATTTCCTACAAAAATACATCTATTTACTAGCAAGTTATGAATTTTTTTCTATGACATTAAAATGTCATTAAGGCCTATAATTAAACACTGGCCGACAAATGCAAAGGTATATCATGTAATAGGTACATCATTTAAAAGCTCGTTTTAATAGGAATCCTATATATTTTATCTGGGATAGGAATGAATACCAATATGCAGCTGAAGTTAGCAATAATAGCTAAATGACTATTAAAAAAACTACTTCTGCAAATATTTTTTATTACTATTATTAAAAAAAATAACATTTAAATAAGTCATTCTAAGCGAGTAGGAATAAAATTTAACCTATATTTGCATATCGATTGGAAACTTAATTTTAACTTAAATATTCAGTTGGTTCAATAAGGTGAATTAAGGTTCTTTGACATGAAATATCTGTGGATAATAAGGTTAATTTTTATTGTATGTAGGAAATTAAAATATGAACAGTTATTTTTTATTTATTGTAAACAAACCAAATACAATTTAAAAAAATATGTTAGCCAAAATATTTTTATCGTTTTAAATAATTTTAAATATTTAATTTAAATATTTAACTTAAAATTATTTTTAGAATTCAAATTTTATTCCTATAATATCTTTAAAAATAACATTTATATTTGTAAAAATAGATCATACCCCGTACCTACACGTAAAATTAAAATTTTAACCTTTCTAACAACCACAAACAAAATATTGCATGTTGCTTTTTATCAAACCTAAAAAATAATTTATTTTTATAAATATCTATTTACTTTTAGATTAGCCATCTTTAAACTAAAATGAGCCAGTTTATCAGTAAACCCAAATGGTCTGCTATAACTATTTTTAGAACGTAGATAAAACTTAAATGTCGAATGGCTTCCTACAAGAAAATAAATCTAAAAAATGCTATTATACGAGGTGTGTTCAGAAAATATCGGGAATTTTCGTTTTTTGAAACAAATATTTATTTATTCGTCTACATTAATGTTGTCGCCTTCAAAATAGTCCCCATTGGATATTATGCACATGTGCCAGCTCTTCTTCCAATACTCGAAACACTTCTAAAACTCGATCTTTGGGATAGCCTTTAGTTCTTTCAGCGATGCGCTTTTAATGTCATCTAAGCTTGCAAAACGACGGCCCTTTACGGTTATCTTTATTTTTGGGAATAGGAAAAAGTCAGACAGAGGCATGTCTGGCGAATATGGAGGCTGGGGCATCATTACAGTATTGTTTTTGGCCAAAAATGTTGTTCAAAATTTAACAATTTTGGAACAAATTTTGCTGCCACGCGTTTCATACCCAAAACATTCGAAAAAATTTCATGGGATGAGCCAATCGATATACCAACATCATCAGCGACTTCTCTGATGGTTTATAACCATTTCTTCCACTTTTTCCATGTTTTTATCGGTTGTTAATATGCTTGTGCGTTCGGGGCGATCGTCATCTTCAACGTCTTCACGGCCATCTTGGAAACTCTTATACCACTTATAAACTCTTGTTTTACTTATAGCAGACTCACTATAGGCCTTTGTTAACATTTCACAGAATTTATTTCATTTTTTAAGCAAAATTGGATACAAATTCTTTGATCCATTTCTTTTAACGAACGAAAATCGCCGGGCTCATAAATCACGTCTAAACTTAGCGGCTGCCGCAGACAAAGTAAACGATAAAAACTGCTAAAGTTTTTATCATACTCCGGGGGCATGTATACCAACATAATAAAGAAAATTTTATGACAACCGGACCCTCCGAACCCGCGAAATTTAACAATTCCCGTTATTTTCTAAACACACCTCGTATAAATACTGTACCAAATATTTTTAAACAACCTTGCAAATATTTTTTTTGTAAATAAAACACAATGCACAGTATTTTAAAATAAATAAGTAATTTTTTTATAAAAGAGAGGAAGGCAGAAGTCTTACTCGACAAATTTTGTTCGCAAAGTTTCAATTGCACAGCTAAATCGTGTGTGAAATGTTTACAATTTTCACTTAAATCATTATAATGATTTAAGTGTTAGTATACTAACATTAATTTGTGCAATTTCTAGATTCCAAATACCAAATTTTGGGGCAAAAGTATTTAATTGAAACAAAACGGAACTTACAACTTTAACACCCTGTATCTTGGTTATTAACAACCTCTTCACTTAATTTTAAAATTACTGTTGTTTTTAAATCCAATTTAAAATTAGAAAAATCTTGGCAGTAAGTCGGTCCGGTACATAAACCTCTTTAATTGTATAAACAAATCGTCAATTATGTACGTTAGGTTATTTTTGAACTAACATCAAAACGTAATTGATTTTTATGAGTTACTTATATACCTATTTGTTGCGGAGAAAACAAGTGTTTTGGCTATTTTTTTTTTTTACGAAAAAGTTTCGAAAGATAAAGTATACTTGGGTGAATATATTAAGATGTCCCCCAAGAGAAAATGATTTTTTTTGGATTTTCACTGTTTACAATATTTATAAAAAAAAATCTACTTACTGAGATATTACACTTCACGGTGGATAGGTTTTTAAATAGCAAATTAATAAACTTAAACTTTTGAATTATAAAACAGCAACACTCTCATCCGCATATAAATTCTACCGACCTTCAAGAATCACATGCATCTATAATGTCGTAAACAGAGGTTTTGCTTATTTAAAATGATTAAAGCGCCATCCGTTGCATAAAATTTAAAGCAAAAACAGATTCACGGAGGATAGAATCAATTTTTGTAACGCCTACATAAATGGTTTATTATTTCTTTTAATTTTTAATAATATTTTATATTTAATTCGATGGCTTTGGATGAGTTATTAATAAAATATAATGGTTAGATGGTTTTAAAAATTGCAAATAATTAATCATATTTTTTTCTCACAAAGTATATTCCATTAATATTAGTTACGTAACTTGTGAGTTGTTTTGGAAATGTTTTAATATATTGATCAAGTTTTAAGAAAATAGAAAAATCATATATAATTTTAAAAAAACTTGTTTTTACTCCCACCTTTACAACGCCCATTGTCGTACATGTTTCCATGACACGAAGTTACCTTTTTTCTTTTTTAAGGGTTTATTTGAAAAAAAACAACTGCCCACTTTTATAAAACACCTATAGGTGTTAAATAACAAACCTAAAAAACAAATTTTTTCTGCTGTCTATGACTTCTGGGACACCCTGTATATTAACAATTTGAACGTGTTAATAAAATTTCGATTTAAACATTAAAAATTTAATTAAACAAAACAAGGTTACTTTTTAGCTTGTTTTTTTATTATAATTGTAATTGTTAAAATGTAATGTTTATTATTATAAAAAAAAATTACATTAAGTTTATTATTATTGTTGTAGGTATATATATATTTAAAACTTTACTAAAATAACGTTTCTTGTTTAGGTACCTGCAACTATGGATTTAAAACCAAAGAAAACCCAACCATTAAGAGTGAACAGTGTCCTTATAAGTGTGTGACGTCGGATTTTTCCAAAAAATGTCAAAAACTAAGTAATAAAATGTATCTTAACTATATAAATAAGTATGATAATTCGCACCGGAAGTGATACTCATTTTTTGACGGTGATAATTTGTTGGTGATATTTTTTCGAAAAGATGCCTGGAATAGTGGTGTTTAGAAGACGCTGGAGCGTTGGATCAGACGATCTAGTTGTTCCTGGTGCCTTTTTGTTCACCGTACATCTGATATGGTAAGTCACAAATTATTAATTCTTAAAATTGGGTGTCAAAATTTATTTTATCTATTTTGCGTTCATAATGACTTCATTATAACACCGCTTTCGAGGCTGTAATGAGATACTTTATCCCACCCAAAATTTTGATTTTATAGGTTGGCTATACTTTAAACAACATAATATTTTGCCTATTGGTTATAATATTTTTATGATTTTTCTAGTACTACTAGTATGATTTAACATAATAGCACTGAGGATAAAGTAATTTTACACTGTATTTAAAAGTGTTAATTTACCTAAAATCGTGTACTACACTTCCTGGGTAAAATCCCACTTTTGTTCAGTCTAAATTAACACCACTTTGGAAAAGTTCTAATTTTAGAAAGGTACTTTTACTCTTTTAGTGCAAACCTTTAGTGTAAATTAACACTATAATTTGAGTAAAACCTATTCGTTGTAGTGAATAAAACGAAATAGTAAATAAAGAGAAACATTTATTTGGAACAAAAATCTATGACAATTATCAAAAACGGTGCCTTTTAAAATATAATTTTATATTTGAGTCGTATGGCTGGCTTAAGCAAAATGGTTCCTTAAAATGGAAAAGTTTTAGATCAATGCAATGTTTTACTGGCTGTCAACTTGTAAGCAATGAATTATCTTGAGAATTCATCAGTAATCCATTTTCTGTTATAAAAAATGGGTGATCCCATTGGTAGAGGGGCGTCAGGCGGCTGTATGTCGGGGATTTACCACACGTGTACAAATTTTCCATAATATTAATAAAAATGTAGGTATAGGTTAATATAACAACCATTACGCTTGAAAATAAAAAGTAAATCAAGTGTGTATGTATTTATATTATTAATGTTACAAGTACCCGACCTACTGCCGTAAATAATTGATATATAGGTCGGATATGGACATCCTTTTAACATATTGGTATTTATTGAGAATTAAGGCTTAAAGAAAAAGGAAGTATAATACTTACCAAAAAATAAGAATGTCCTCTTATGGATTCACCGTAATTAAAATCTAACTGAACAAAAATGCCACACTTCCACAACGCGGTATCTCCGGATATGCACTGCGTAGGTAGATAGGTACCAACCAAACATTTTAAAACGCATTTCGGTTATTACCAGTTTTTTCAGTCTGTTTTGCCACTATTGGTGTATTTTAACTTTAATTGTATGCAATGTGCACTAGTAATGTAAAGAAAAAAGAGCTCTTAGTAACATCAAAACAGACAAAGAAATTGGCATGCACTGTAGTGTACATTTTGTCACTATTTAGCACATTAAGGGGTAATAAACACTCGCATTAAGTTTTTCTACCCTTTTGATTTATTTTAATAATAAATAGTGTGAATGTACCAATGAATAATGTTCATATTCTTTAAATGTGTTTAATAAAGTTAATAAGCACTAAATGCTACCTAGTGTATTTTAAAGTGTAACTTTTACACTTACAAACAAGTCTAATATTTTTACCCCTAAACTAACAAATTTACACGGGCAAAATTTTTTACTGTGTATCAAAGCCCAGTTTTTTTGATAAATGCAATGGTTTCACATCACAGTCAAAATTTAAGAATTGATTATATTTGCCATAAAAAAACTTTAGAAAAACATCCTCTGGGTAATAAATCTTGCTGACAGAAATAATCACTTTAATCTCCAATACTACCAGAGTAACTCTAAAGGTAAACGGCTCTAAATAATGCATTTTTATCCGAATCAAATTCCTAAGGGTGACTCAGCCTGTGGAGACTGCACACTGTACACATGAAACTGGGGGATGTTTGAACTTATTTATGGCATTATGAGGGGGAATGATAAACCCCAATCTTGAATTATTAAGCGCTCTAAATACGTCCTTTAAAACAAGTGCTATCCATTTGAGACAGAGCTGCTCCTCACGGCCATGTGGATGCTAAATTAATTTTCAAATGGTGCAATTTATGTGAAAGACTATAAAAAATTTAATAACTTTTGCTAGGAAGAGCAGTATTAAAAATACTTTTTGGAATTACTTTTCAGATTTTAAATTCTAACGATGAAGTTAAATTAAAATATATAACGTAATACAGAAGTCGAGTGGAATATGGAAAATAGGATACCCAAACTTAATATAAACTGACACTGACAACACAAACTAAACATAATAAAACATAAACTACAAACTGAAAAATAAAATTAATCAACAACGAGGGGGTATCATACAAAACTTGCCTTTAAATTTTATTTAAATACTTCCAAAATTAATTGATTGTATGGTCTATAGTCGGCGTCAAATCTACATGACGTCAGCGTTAAGGTCTATTCATACGTGCCCAGGTACAATCAAAAGCTTGTGTATTGTTGACTGTTTATAGCAACTGGCATAAATTCTTGTACATTTAAAAAAGAAAAAAGTAAAAACAGAAACTTAATCTACAAACCTATTTTTTTCCAAATTTTGTTTATTGAGGGGTTTTATTTAAAACGTAAAAGTGGGCAGTTGGATTTTTTTAAATAAAAATGGTTTTTCTACTCCTACCTTTTAAACGCATTGAGAAGTTGTGGCTTTATGGCGCTTTAGTCACGGGCTGAAGTTAGCAACAGGATTTTAGTCACGGGCTGAAGTTAGTTTTAAGTTAGTTGGCAGTTGTCAAATGGTATACGATCGTTAAAATAAAGTGCCTTTCTTGTAAAATAATACTAAATGTGAAAATTATTTCATTATCTCAATACAAAAATACAAAAGTATTAAATGGTTTCTCAACGCCAATATTTGAAAAGTGTATATGAATATTGTACTGACCTTTTAATTTCGCCGGCAGTAAACTATAACTTAAATTTGGGCACGGACTCCATTGTAAAGTCCTCATAAAACATTTTCTTTACTTTCACTGTGAAAAACTGTCAATTTTCAAGAAATACATTTCGATTTATAACCTTTATAATCTGTTTTTATAAAATAACTAAATTTGACATTTGACGGTGACACACAGATTCCCGAAGTGTTTCATAGATGGCGCTCTATACAAATTTTTGAATTAAATCATTTTAAGATAATAATAAGTATTTGTCGAAGAAAAAGTATAGTATGCACCTCGTTTGCTTTTTCGGTAATATTTGGAATATATTCTCAACTACATAAAAAAAGGAAGATGTTATATTTACCTTAAAATATATATAATATGGATAAACCTTAGAGCATACAATACGTTTTTCCGATTCAACAAAACCACCTAATTGTATCTAAAAAAAAATGATTATCTTAAAAACATATTAGTAAGTAACCATTATTATTATTATTAGACAGCATTTCCTGCATTTTCTTTTATCTCTACGGTTTCTACAACTTGTATGTTATCTTATTTGAAGCCACAAAACATCAGACGCATTTCTGCACCAAGTAGCAGAAAATTTTCCATTAATATCGAGATGCATTTCCTGGAAAACTATCGCGATAAAAATGCATGCATATAGAATTTATATATAAATATAATATAATATTTTTCCACTATTATCTTAAAGACACAGCGTTCAAAACATGTAGGTATATTATATTGAATTTTATTTTTGTTTACCTCAACAACGTTTTAGAAAATGCGTTTTTCTTTTTTTTTTCTCTCGATGCCAAACAAAAGAGGGTGGGCTGAGAAGATCGATACCTAAGTAGGCTGAGGACGATATAAATAACGAATTTCTCGCCTACTTAGATGTTGATGGATTTTTTTATGTTTTAATCGGTTTTCTATTTCGGGCGTGCGGAGCCAAATTAAAATTTGATGAAGTTTCTTCAGCCGGCGGCCGAATTTTAATTGAGTTATGAAGTCCTTTGCGATTTTGGTAATACAAGAAAATTAAAGAGTCGTACTGGATTGAAAATTACAAGAAAAAATTTTTGCAAGGTTTTTTCAAGGAACTAAATTTTTTGTTAAATTTCTGTTGCTGTTGCTAATAAAAAATAAAGCTAGAGACCATTGGTGGTTTATTTAAGGAAATGCCAAAAAATTTAATGTTTGTTATTGGCGAGCATCTAGGTCATCAAATTGTGTGATTGGACAATAAAAAAGTTACGTAATCCAGTTTATTGCATTTACAGAGACACTCCAAATGTCATTAAATGATTATAATAGGGAGTTGAATGCAAGAACTAACCTATACTTATTTGGATATAATTTCAATGCTATAGCATACGAGGTGTGTTCAGAAAATATCGGGAATTTTCGTTTTTTGAAACAAATATTTATTTATTCGTCTACATTAATGTTTTGGCCTTCAAAATAGTCTAAAACTCGATCTTTGCGATAGCCTTTAGTTCTTTCAGCGATGCGCTTTTAATGTCATCTATGCTTGCAAAACGACGGCCCTTTAAGGTTCTCTTTATTTTTGGGAATAGGAAAAAGTCAGACAGAGGCATGTCTGGCGAATATGGAGGCTGGGGCATCATTACAGTATTGTTTTTGGTCAAAAATTTTGTTCTAAATTTAACAATTTTAGAACAAATTTTGCTGCCACGCGTTTCAACCCAAAACATTCGAAAAAATTTTATGGGATGAGCCAATCGATATACCAACATCATCAGCGACTTCTCTGATGGTTTATAACCATTTCTTCCACTTTTTATCGGTTGTTAATGTGCTTGTGCGTTCGAGGCGTTCGTCATCTTCAACGTCTTCACGGCCATCTTAGAAACTCTTATACCACTTGTAAACTCTTGTTTTACTTATAGCAGACTCACTATAGGCCTTTTTAACATTTCACAGAATTTATTTCATTTTTTAAGCAAAATTGGATAAAAATTCTTTGATCCATTTTATTTAACGAACGAAAAATCGCCGAGCTCATAAAACACGTCTAACCTTAGCGGCTGCCACAGACAAAGGAAACAATGAAAACAGCTAAAGTTTTTATCATACTTCGGGGGCATGTATACCAACATAATACAGAAAATTTTATGACAACCGGACCCTCCGAACCCGCGAAATTTAACAATTCCCGTTATTTTCTGAACACACCTCG